GCAGTTTCCATTCTTATTTCCTCATCCAGTTATCTACAAATCATAGTCAGAAACAAGTTAGAATCATAGTTAGAGACCACAATACAAGCATTAACAGTGCGTAAACCTTTCGGCAGTAGTCTAGATAGTAGTCCATCTAAGATCCGCCTTCAATTTCGTCGTATAGACCATACACCTGCCGGGAGCACGACTCCGAACAATCATCTCATTTGTGTCGCTCCAAAGACTTTCATAAATCCAATAGACAATGCGTGAACCTGTAGGCAGCTCCAGGTCTACACTTATTAATACGCCGTTTTCGAATCTTCTGTATTTACATGACGAGATTTTCCAAATTGTTTTGCGTTATATTTTGGATTTGAGTATCCTTTATTATTCAGTTAAATTACTCCTGCGTCTTAATTTTTAATTATTCTGCAAAAATAATCCATTTGCGAAATACAATCCTGGCTTTAGCGCTCTTAAACTACTGCCTAAACGGTCGAAATTGCAGTAGCGGCACAGGAAAACCGAGAAACCACGCGGAGACGCTACCTCAAAATTAAGCTTCCATCGCCTTCCTAAGGCGCAGGCATACAACTATTTGAACTCTCCGGAACGCGTGAGGTATCACGCCTCAATTGAAGGCGTTTTCGAATCCTTTGTATTTACATGACGAGATTTTCCAAATTGTTTTGCATTTGCGGCATTTATTGCGCATTTTAACTATGTCAGCTATTTAAAAAGTTAACTAAATCCGGGACTTTTTCTCATGCGTAGCCGCTGCATAGAAAAAAAAAAAACCGCAAAAAAGGCCTTTTAAGAAATTTTTTCAATATGGCGGAAAATGCTCACCTGATACGCGGTAGGAAATTTCAGATTCGGATTCAGCGACCCAAAAAACATAAAGTAAGCGAGAAAAATCGCAGTGTACCCAAAATTCCAGGTAGACTTACCAGGCGCCTGGACTATAGCGTCACCGCTAGGTTTCTCGGTATTCCTGTGCCGCTACTGCAGTATCGACCGTTAAGGCCGTAGTTAGAGGGCGCTAAAGCCAGGATTGTATTTCGCATAAATGGATAATTTTTGCAGAATATTTAAATATTAAGAAGCAGGAGTAATCAAACTAAATATTAAAAGGAACTCAAATCAACAATATAATGCAAAGGAATGTGGTAATAAAATATGTTCAAAAAGCTGAAATTAGAACCAAATCGGAATTTCGGGTACCCAGCGATTCTTTTCGCTTACCTTATGTTTTGGGTCGCTGAATCCGAATCTGAAGTTTCCCACTGCGTATCTGGTGAGCTTTTTCCGTCATTTTTAAAAATTTGCCTGAAAAGGCCTTTTAGCGGTTTTTTGGATGTAGCGGCTACTCATGAGAAAAAGTCCCTGATTTAGTTAATGTTTTGAATAGCTGACATAATTTGAAAGAATATGGTGTCAACATATGCTACGTTTGCTTAAAAATTGATGAAGACACAGCATCGTGAACATCGCGCCCATTCACGTTTACACGGCGCACCCGTCAACGCACGATCCGGCTCGCCGCGGTCAGCCAAGTTCCGAAGCGTTCCAAAGTTCCGAGATCCGAGGTTTCTCAATTTTTGAGCAAACCCAGCATATTCATATGCCATTTTCTTCCAAATTATGTCAGCTATTCAAAACATTAACTAAATCCGGGACTTTTTCTCATGCGTAGCCGCTGTTTTCCAGTCGGAAAAGCTCCGCGAGTCCCTCGATTCGAGCGATCCGCTTAAGACGCTCTAGAGAAAGAGGCAAAAAGTTGTCACAAAAGCTCTTTTTTGACCAGTTTTTGACTGTTTCTCTACTCAGGATGCCTCGCCGATTGTCGGGATTGTGCGGAATTGATTCTATGCCTCCAACTACGTAAGGTCAGACAAATATCTCGAAATATTTTTCTCAGTCCAAAATCGAGAAAAATCGACAGGGGTTACGCGGACGAAATTTTTCGGGTCAAAATCGAAAGTTCGCCCATCGGGCCGAAACGAAGTAAGCTCGCTTGGAATTGACCCGCTGAGTGCGATTTTCGAGTCCGAAAAGCTCTGTCTGTCCCTCGCTTCGAGGTATCCGCTGAATACGCTACAGAGAGAAAGTCAAAAAGTGATCAGAAAAGCTCGTCTTTGACCAGTTTTTGACTGTTTCTCGGCGCAGGAAGTGCGGGAATCGATTCTACGCCTCTAATTACGTAGGATGCGACTGAAATCTCGAAATTTTTATCTCAGTCCCAAATCGAGAAAAATCGACAGGGGTTACATGGACTAAATTTTTGGCGTCAAAATCTAAGGTTTGCCGATCGGGCCGAAACCAAGTAAGCTCGCTTGGAATTGACCGATTATTATATTGGCGGAGATTATTCCGCTGACATAAAAGAAAAACCAAGGAATCTTTCGAGAAATTACGTTGACAAGTTTTCGGAGAAAGCAGTCAAGTATGACGGTAAGTCTGCAATGTTACAAACGGAGATACATGGTTTCGAACTTTAGCCATGGCTATACTTCCAGATTAGCTTTTCTCATAATCATCAACTCCATGATTCCGAAAATACTTTTTTAATCTTGATTATATTTACTCTGTGGACTCTTTATCCAAAAATGGAATTCGGATTTTTGCGTATGTTCACGCACCGTTATGTACGTGCGAATTTTCGACGGAAAACAGTTGCGTGGTGCATAATTTCCTGCCGAATCCATGGTCCATTATTTTGCGGAAAAATTCAATAAAAATTCTCCTTGATTTAAATGAAAATTTTGCTCAGCGGTTCCATGACAGCTGCACCGATCATTCATTTTGAAGGCCCCATCTGAATCGTGTGACAAGAGCTTTTCCTTTTTAACCAAATTTTTCTTTCCTTCCGACATGTGCGTGGAGTGAATGATCGATTTTCGATATTTCCCCATTTTAATCCGTGGTAAAGAATCGACTATTAAGATGTCTTTTACGGCTTCCCTCTTTTTTCAGATTATTCAAACGCCCCAACAACTTCCGAGGGAATCAAAATAACAAAAAAGTAGGGCATCAAGTCCCCGTCACCGCCGACCAACGCGTCGGTCGATCGAATCAACTACAGGCAGTATGAGCAGGGATTCAAAACGCCTTCAATTTTTTGAACGCAATATGGACATCCGTCGAGGTTGTATAGTTGTATCAAGGCGCCGTAGCAAACGCGTCCCATTGTTTATCGTTACATACGAATATAAGTCAAGAGAGGCCGGTCATAATGCCTGCTTCAATTTTATACATACATGTTTTTGGGCAAAATGAGAAACGACGTTTCTCCTTTTGCGACTTTGCAGACTTCGTTAGAAATTTTATTTTTCTATCGAGAAGCTGGTCAACATAAAACTTAAATTCTGCATGATTTTTCGTATTCGATAGCAGAAGATTTGGTTCTAAATTTAAAGTCGTAAAATTGGATTGTTTCTCAAGGTAGAGATGAAATAAGAACGGAAATTTTGAAACACTGCAATGGAGATACGTGGTTTCGCACTTCAGTCGGTGCGATACGGACATCCATCATAATTCGGAAAGTAGAACCTACTGAGATATGCTCTCGGTTAGGTATGTTTCCACGACAAAAATGGGAAATGAGATGCAATTTTTCAGTGCTGCTATCAAATTGAAGCAGTACTTTTACTTTTTGATCAACAAAAATCAAGGATCGAGTATCAAAAGAGTATATCGCACTCTCCTGGAGATTTTCGTTGATCAACAAGTGGAGACGTCTCTTAAATTTGATCGACAGCACTCAACAAGTCCCATCTTTACCCATTTTGATCGATTCCTATCAGTCTTGGGAATAAAGCTGTTGTTTCTCGGGTTTGCTATCTTTTTTAGCGCGAAACGCGAACTGCACCTAAATCAACTTAAAATTTTGGTTAGTTTGACGTGATTTACCTCCTATATTCACCGAAAGTAACACAATAATACGGTCATTCCCCAATTTAAAATTGACCAAATTAGACATTATTAGAAAATTAAACTTCCGGGGTACGTAGTTCTTCGTTCAAATGCAAAATTGATACTGTTCAAGAATGAAAAAACAAAAATTGTGGGAAAAATCCCCTGTTTCATTTGGTTATCATTGTCGTTCACTAGGAAACCCCTTCAAATGCTCGTGATACCAACTTAGCGACTGCTACTTACAATCAGAGGGGAAACATATCATTTTTCAAGATTTTTTCAGTATTTATGCGGATTTGAATAGCCAATCGAGACAAGATCATGGATTATTGTGCTTGCCAAAATGAAGTGTCGTAATGTCTAAAGAGAAACATGCGAGTATTTGTGGATTTGGAATAGCAGGGAGCATATACTTTGAAAACTTTTTATTACATTACAAATTTACAATAATTGCTTTCCTGTCTAACTTTTCAGTATTTAACGCCTAAATTTAACTCAAGTTAGTAGAAGTCAACGATTCGGGCGTGATTTGTACTTCTATTAAAATCAAGAAGAGCTGTACACAATGTGACATGCGCCGTGTAATGTACGTTTTATTATAGATCTTAGGGTTCATGTCAGAATTGATATAGTGCCTTTTGACTCAAATGCGTCCACGTTTTCGGGTTCCGTTATGAGGTGTCACGCATCATTGCACTATAAGGGAAACAGCTATTTTGACGACAGGTTGTTTTAAGCTTAGTACTGGTTCAACGCATTTGTTTGAGTTTCAATGCATAAAATGTCAACTTTGTTTCTAAGCTTCACGGAGAAAAATTATATGTTGATTCAGTATTTATATTGTTAAAAAAAATTCTGGCAAATTTCAAATGCTGATTTTCCATTTTAAAAAATGATATCTACGCCCACGGTAAGATGAACAAATCCGAACGTTGAGTTAGCGTTTTTGTACACGGAAAAAATTAAATTGCTGATTTATCAATTCAATTTCTAAAAAAAGTGACTGCAATGATTCAACGCAGATTTTACAAAAAAAAAATTTGCTACTATAACCACTATTGTAAGCTAATTTAACCACGGGGCCGTGGTTAAAGTAGCATTTTTTTGTTGTAAAATCTACGTTGAAACAATGAAGTCACTTTTTTTGGCAATTGAGTTGTTAAGCAGCAATTTAATTTTTTCCGCGTATTGTAAAATCAGCATTTGTATCTTGACGGACTTTAGTATAACAATTTAAATGCTAAATCGAAATTTAATTTTTTTCCGTGTCTAGTGTTTATTTTTTGCATTTGCACAGCCATACGAAGTTTTATTTTTTTTTATTATTTTACATTTTTTTTTAAATGTTTGATGCAAATCGAGCGTCTCCCGACGGTGCGTGGTGGAACGTACCGCGTTATCGCGCTCTGAATATTTTAATATATGTTAATATAAGCAGAGAGGTCCAAATCTATTCACAATATAACGCATAAACAGCAGCTGAGATGGTAAGGTGGTAATTTTCAAAAGTGAACAGGGCATAGGAGTCTCGATTTTCGTCCCAGAGAGCTTGCGACAACGTCAACAAACCTTGACCCGCCTTCTCTGAAATCTGGATGACGCATACCAATTTGTACCTGTGGAAAAGAAATAAGAGTAAGATGCACATCTGATACTCAGACTAATCTACTACCCAAGTTACTGACGATTGCAGTAATCACCAAATTTTGAAAAATGAAATTTTCTTTAAAATTCCAACAATCTAATTTGAAATACCCCGCACCTAAAATTAAGCAATATAATGGAGGGAGGCAAAATCTATATTTAGAGATCAGCGCTTTGTTTCGCCTATTCATGAGCAAGTTGTTGAACCAAAAATCGATCATAATTCTCCTGATAATAACTGATTAAATGGAGACTTCATTTTGCAATTGAATTAGTAAGTTCGAAAACACACCAACTCGGAAAAAATAATATGCTCAGGAAACAAAAAACTGCGCGGCAGGCGAAGAAGTTACTTTCAGAATAAGTTTTCTGGTGCCAAAGGATCGGTACTTTGGGACATTGTAAAGAACCAAGTAGAAATAGATGCATACGAGTTGCCGAGTTGGTGTGTTCTCGATCTCACTGACTTTCTGATACTGATTTTTCATGGTTTGTCTTGAAAAATTTATATTTTTTGACATGTAACCCTTGATTATTTTTTACAACTTGTTTGTGCACGGTATTTTGAACCGAAAAAAACCACGAATTTGGGTGGCCACTCGTTTTTCTTAAGAGGCCCAAAATAGTTATTTTCATTAAAATACCAAATCTTCTCTCTTTTCAGTACTATTTTCTGACAAATATTATATTTGCAGGCACCAAGTGCACTAGGAAAGTGTTTTGTGAGCTATCGCCCCTGAAAAAGTCCACCGCTATGCATTCACCACTGCAAAAATTTCAGAGGAAATCGACAAGCCCAGCGTGCATGGAGGCCATCTCCATTTAAATCTTCCGTCACATTCTTACGGCGCAATGATACAACTATTTGAACTCTCCAGAATGCGTGAGGTATCACGCCGCATTTGAAGGCGTTTTCAAAACAGCGAAGTTCCGTTATCGGATAATCGTTTTGCATAACCACCCATTTGCTAAACACAATTGTTCCAGATGTTTTGAATGCAACAATTCGCAAGTATTTTGTGCTGAAAGTAGAAAAAAAAAAAAAAAAAAAAAAAAAAAAAAAAAAAAAAAAAAAAAAAAAAAAAAAAAAAAAAAAAAAAAAAAAAAAAAAAAAAAAAAAAAAANCCCCCCCCCCCCCCCCGTACTTGGGGCCCGGACCTTAAAACTGGCACCAGGGCCCGAGATGGGACGTGGCGGGCCTGATCACTGCTAATGTATTCGCTCCCTATCTTTGCATGGAGAGTTTGTCTTGATGTAGAGGTAGGCTTTCAGGGTAGGGTGGGATATCCCCTCCATTTTGGCCTCACTATGAGAGCTTTTTTTGAGCTTGGGAGATGATTTCAGAGAAAACCAGTGGCACCATCGTGTTTCTCGCGAACTTTTACATAAGAATCAATGGTCAAATCGAAAATCCCTCACACATGCAACATCTCCATTGCCTCTAAAAATCGACCTTGATGCGCCACATGGCTCCTGAAACTCCAATGAGAGTTTCGAACACTGGGAAGGAGCCTCATAGTATAGTTTACCTGTCGAACTGAAGGTCTTTGACGCGCTCTCTAAGATCCGCGGAAAGCTTGAGCGCCATCTTGGGGGACTCGACGGCGTCATACCTTGTGTCGACCGTCACCGATTCCGCCACAACCTCGTGCAAAATCCGCTCGACTTTCTCCGGGCAGAATTTATTTTTCGATTCTAGCTGGTAACTGTTGGCATACTTGAGCACCTGAGAAAAATCGGATGAATTAACATCAAAAATTGTCGATATTACGTACTTTGTTCATGAGCATTCAAGGAAAAGTCAAGTGTGGAGGTTGTTACAAAACTCTGAACTGAATTATGTGTTTGTATGGCGTAGGCAAATAATTCAATCTGGCATATTTTACTGAGTGCCTAAGCGTATAGTCAAATTTTGATAGTTTAAGCAGTTGTGTATGTTTTTGATGAACTCTCGAGTTTTCCATGTGTTGTAAAAGTAAGAACTCATCAAATCTAAGAAATAGTACTGCATTGTCCTCTGAATAGATTCTCATTTATATTGAAAGCTAACATTTTGAAAAATTCTATACTATACGTATGGCATACTGAAATTTTCGAGATGATTGCTCATTTAAAAACTAGGAATAAACTATTACCATCTTAGAATGCAATATTATCATATCATTCTTACCTACAATAGCAATAAATGGTTTATTCTGATATGAGCAAAATAATTAGAATTCCAATTTAAGTTTCAGTAAAAATATTTGACTATTTGCCTGCGACATATCTTCACTTGAGTGGTGTATGACGCGGAGTATCGCATGAAACTGAAGGCGAGTTCACATGCTTAAATATCATGTTTCTGATATGGCATAAAAGAACACTGACTCAAGGACATAATATCCATCCGAAAAAACGCATTAAAACTTAATATAGGTATTCAATGAATGAATGAAAAAAAAAAAAAAAAAAAAAAAAAAAAAACTAAGAAGTGGCCCAAACAGTATGTAACAAGGTGGAGAAATGGTGCTGGGTTCACACCATTTCGCGGGGAAACAAGGCCAAGAAATTCCAAAAATTCAAATTAGAGTCAAAATTAAATGTTTTGAACTCTAATGCGCACCAGTACGAAACTGAGGGGGGAGCAAACCCAATGCAAACTGCCTGAGCTGAACATTCTCCCCCCTCAGTTTCGCAATGGTGCGCATTAGAGTTCAAAACATTTAATTTTGACTCTAATTTGAATTTTTGGAATTTCTTGGCCTTGTTTCCCCGAGAAATGGTGTGGACCCAGCACCATTTCTCCACCTTGTTGTATTCAATGAATTACCTATACTTTTCTACTTGAATGAGCTACAAATCAATGAAATCTGAACTGAAAGCTATGATCATGACCACACCTTAAAGAAGTTATCCTACCTGATTTGCTGGATTCATAACAAAGCATGGTTTCTGATATGTTTATCAGGGAGCGACGAAAACTAGCTGTGGAATCTCTGTCACTTAATGTTCCAGAGTCGAAGCCAATTTTTTGACAGATGATTTCGATGTAATTCAATGCATCACTTCCGTTCTTCTACTAAACATGAATGCGTCTTTGCGACTCGATTCTGAATTTTCCAACTAAAATTTGTTAACTATGGGGTATTCTCGTAATGAAGCACCGAAGATAATCATACAGGAAATCAGGAGATGTAAGGAGTTTCAGATCAGATAATTCTGAGATAAAATCGTGTTTTGGTGGGGGTTGATTCTCACGGATTGAGGCAAAGATCATGAAATCTATCGAGATGTAAAGTTCCTAAGTTCAATAATCGCCCGAAAGATTTTATAAATAATGTTCCAACCATGATATAGTTAATCATTGCAAAAAATTTAGAAAAAATTATAAAAAATGTATCTCTCTGAGACTTCAAATCCCCTCGGCGGTCAGATTGCACACAAGAATGACAAAATGAAAAAAAAAAAAGCAACTCTTCGTCACTTTTCCGACAATGATCAACTTACTCTTTTTTGATGCCCTTTTCCCTTAATTTTCCCGGTCGTGTCCCGTATACGGAAAGGACCAAAACAGAGTTCGTATGACAGGATAAGTTTCTAGACAAGATATGAATTGAAGGACCACACACATGTTTTCTCCTCACAATTTCACGATGAAAACGGATCCTAGAATGAAAATTCTGAAAATCAACTTATAAACCAGAACATTCGTCAGACGGCGAAAATACAAATTTCGTTTAACTTCCTTTTGATCCGTGCTAAAAACACGTGTTCGCCACACGTTCAGGAGTTGATTTCCAAACGCTTTGATGTGTGAATAGTTTGCTATGTAAAATTTTAAAGAGAAAAACTATAATTTTTTTTTTCAAGTCCTTTTCAGACCTTGTCTAGGATCTTATCCTTCAAAAGCCCTTAAAACCCTCAAAACCGCACTATTAACAGTTGCTCAGGGTCCCAGGAATTGATTTCGAAAAAAATTCCAAAAATTAAAAACTATCGAGCGAGGGGTGGATTATTGAATTTCGCTGGTCACAGCTGAACGGAGAGGTTCACATCAGGGTAGACGGACCGCGATAACAGTTGTATTGAAAAACACACTGGGAGGGGGTGGGGGGTGGACCACTGATTCTTTACTTTAATCTAAACGTTCCCGAAGGAAGGGAGCCGAGACGACGTGGAAGGACACTCGCTCTGCGGGAGTTACGGAGTTACAGGAGTTAAGTGGAGTTAGGGATGATTTTGTTATGTCACTGAGAAGCCTTCACGGGTCGGACAAAAAAGCGGCGATGGGGCGACTGATTTACAAGGAAATCCATTCTGCAGGGGGAGACTTATGAGCCGGGACACACAGGGATTTCTGCGAGCGGGAACGGTGGACTGAGCCGGGTTTATGGGCTCGAGACATGAAAAGGAATCGAGGATCGGGGATCGGCCTACGGGCCAGGAATCGGATAGTAATCATCAATTTCGTAATTAGTTCCGGTTAGAGAAAGCACAGCCTCGGGCTTTCGGATGTGCATGCTCGAGGCGCCGCGGCGCGGGCGGGAGGGAGGGTGATCGATATTCGTTTTCTCTTTTCAGTTTTCTTCTCGCAGTGCAGTGGGTGAGTGGGTGAATGGGATACCGGGTGGATACCCGTGCCGAGCGGTACCAACTGTCACCTTTACGATTTACGCTCGCTTTCTTCTCCAAAGCCTCGAGAGCTTTTTTCAAGTTAACGCAGGGTCAAAGAGCCCACCATTGAGTCCGAGTCATCCATGCGCCCGAGAGTTTTCCCGGGAGAAACGTGATTGATGACTTATCCTGCCGTGCCAAGGAAAAACGCCCTATGAACCCTCAGGCGTTGCCTAATTTCCATTTATAACACACGAATTTCCTGGTACACTTATGAATATTTTCTTTCTAATTTTTCAGATATTGTTGTTTCAATTTCACCCAAGTTCCAGGATAATTTCAAGGGAAAATATTCATAACTCTCCTCAAAAATAAACATTTTATTGAAGGAAATTTGGCAACTCTCGGTAACTAACTTCATACGGTGTTCTTCCTTAGCACGGCCGTGCTCGTGCCATGTACACAAGAAGAAGTTGCAGTCGTTTGAATTTCAAGCATATTATGTCTATCATGTTTCTTTACTTGTGAATTTTTACATTTTTTTTATTCACACCTCATCACCTAAACAGATTGCAATTTACAAGCGCTTGCTAAATGCCTGCGAAATGATGTAAAACGGTGCAGCTGGATCACCCTAGTATCCGAAATAGATTTGTGCAATAATTTCATCGTTTTTCTCACAAAAGGACGTAACCATATTTTAATGTTGCCAAATTTCTCCTCGCAAATTGTATTTTCACCAGGAAAATCTTGGGCATTTCAAAGTAAACATTTCGTTGATTTTTCCTCTGAGCTCATGCAAAAATGAGACAAATTTCGGAAAAAATTGCACTTGCACAGTCTCGTGTAAAATTGAGTTGTTTGAATTAATTTTGCAATTTTGGAATAGAGTTACGTTCCTTCGTCCGAGAAACGAATTCTGCTCTTCTATCCTTTCAATCCGTTATATATGATCGACTCTGAGAGGATAACAATTAAGTCGATAGATATCGAAAAATATTCACAACTCTCCTCCAAAGTAAACATTTTATTCGAGGAAATTTGGCAACTTTCGAATGTTCTTACGGCGTTCTTCCTTAGCACGGCAGTATCGATGGTGCAACTCCCAAACCACGTATCTCTTTTGCGATGTTTAAAAATATATATTTTGTTTTTTATGGATGATTTTATAAATTTTTTTTTTTACACAACTCTTATTGGTTAATAGCACATCAGTGTAGTCAATCAATTCTGTATTTCCGATATGCAGATGGAATAAAAATCGATTTTAAGATTTTTCGTCCTTAAAATAATAATATCTGTTATTTTGTTCCTATCTTACTCTTTCAATTTATTGTATTCAGTAACTAGTCAGTCGTTATTTTTGTATACTTTTAGCTTTGTAACTTTAATAATTGTTTACGTTTCCCCAGTCGGAACCTTACAATAAAGTAAATAAAAAAAAAAGATAATTTTTACGACGCAGTCCGAGAAAATGGTAAATAGGGGAAAACGAGGGGGAAAACGGGAAACAGGCTTAAATACAACGATAAAAAACCCGAGACTTTCCGACTCAAAACTGAGTCATTTTCAGTCGGAAAATAAATTAAAAATTAAAAAATATCGAAGAAAAAACCCGAGACCTATATTTTGTTAGATTTTTCTTTTAAAGATGAACAAAGCAACATTAATCCTTGAACGTTTTTCATGATTTGCTCCACAGTGCAGAATAATCACGGGAGTGTTACGTCGAGTGGTTCTCCATTTAAAAAATTAAATGTGGCAAGAAATCCGCAACGTCACAAACCGAGATACATGATTTTCGAATTTCAGCGTCTTTATATACAATGAGAGTTTGATAAACAGATATACTGCTGTTTTAAGGAAGACCGCCTTATGAGCCTTCTAAAGTTGCCAAACTCAAATGAATAACGAACTTTTAAGGAAATCTGTTAATATTTTTCCTCCAATTTCCCAGAAAATGTTATTCACGGTCAAATCTATATTTTCTGAAAATTTCAAAAGAAAATTCTCTTTAAAAACAAACATTGTATTGGTGAAAATTTGAAAACTCTCGAGTGTTCATACGGAGTTTTTCCTTGGCACGACGGTATGAGTAAATAGATGAATCGATTGACACTTAGACGAGTAGACAAATAAATACAAATGGATGGAGTGAATGGATAGTGGATGGTATATAGGGGAATGTAGAGAAATGACTTAATAGATGAATACATAGATGGATAGATCGATAAATTATTAAATTGATAGATTGATGAATGTTTCTATAATACGACTTATTTATGTCAAGAGGAAACTCGGAGGCAAGAAAATTGTATGTAATTACTTCGTCTTGTATGCCTTAATTCACTTCAGTACATATTTTCTCTGAGCATAAAAGCGTCCTATAGATGGATGAAAAGATGACATTAATAGATGTACGAATAGATGAATGAATGGATACATGGAGATATAAATAGATAGCTATACATGGTCTTAGCTTAAGAGATTCCAAGGAGCTGGTCTTCCAGTCCAGAAGAAGTTTTATTGTTTTAGGGCAGCAGACATCACCTACATAATTTCCTTTTCAGAATATAGTGCTTATCTGGCAACATGAGAAATCCGAAATTTTCTAAGATGGAAATTGTGTTTTCTCTTCGTGAAACCCAGGCTGCTCAGAGCAGTTACGATTTGCCCTCCTTATTACATGCCTTCATCCCACGAACACGTGCAACCAAAAATTCATTACTCCCATTGCTGAGTATTTCCTCGAGTTAACAAGCCGAAAGCTGTAGAAAATTTGGCGTGAAAAAGAAATGAAAAGGATAACAATTGAAACAAATCGAAATCAATTCAAGGCAGCCAATACGACTTGGACAAATATCATCATTAGGAATATGACAGCCATTCAACGCGTAAAGATTGGTGATGAATTCGCCATGAGGACATGTCGTCGATTTGCAAGTTCATCAGTCCAGACTGTGCTGCGTGCGTGTCTTGATACCTCAATACATCAGGTTCGATTGCCTACCAAAAGCTTTATAAATCGTACTCATGCACGACACGTGTGATAGCGGGGGCAACTCGCGCGATTTGATATAGTTGTGGGTTTCGACCACTTGATTATAAGTAAAAAATCGATATTTATCGCCGCTATCGCGATATCTATCGAGAGTATTGAGATATGTCAACATTATCGATATATTTTGACATCGTGGATACACATCAACATTATCAATATTTATCGACTTAATTGGTATCCTCTCAGAGTCGATCATATATAACGGATTGAAAGGATAGAAGAACAGAATTGCCGAAACATCGTTTCTCGGACGAAGGATCGTAACTCCATTCCAAAATTGCAAAATTGATTCAAGCAACTCAATTTTACACGAGACTGTGCAAGTGCAATTTTTTTCCGAAATTTGTCTGATTTTTGCAGGAGCTCAGAGGAAAAATCAGCGAAATTTTTTCTTTGAAATGCCCAAGATTCTCCTGGTGAAAATGCGATTTGCGAGGAGAAATTTGGCAACATAAAATACGGTTACGTCCTTTTGTGAGGAAAACGATGAAATTATTGCACAAATCTATTTTTGATACTAGGGTGATCCAGCTGCACCGTTTTACATCATTTCGCAGGCATTTAGCAAGCGCTTGTAAATTGCAATCTGTTTGAGTGATGAGGTGTGAATAAAAAAAATGTAAAAATTCAGAAGTAAAGGAACATAATAGACATATGGATTACATTTTGCAAGAAGAAACTGGAAAATCTCTGGCTCTTCCATAATAGCACCCTCTTGCACAGGGAAACCAATGGCAAATATGCTCCTTCTAAAATGAGCCAGAAATAGTAGTTCCTTAATGCAAAATGTGGTCCACATTATTCTTGAAATTCAAACGACTACAACTTCTTCTTGTGTGCATGACACGAGTAGGAGCCAGTACGCTCACAAGTGCGTTTAGCAAACTCGGTTCGGAAAGGCAGCTAAACTAATTGTCAGACAAAGCGGAGAGTATCGCCAGAATTGAAGGCGCTCTAAGCTGAGTTCGTGCTTGTGCAGTTCTTTGTCAATGAAATCTTTACCATTTCGATGCCATTGATTAATTATGACGAGTTAACACGCATGCAGACTAGAAATTGCCTGCAATTTCTGACTGTCTGCTACATACCCTCAGCTTATGCATGAAAAATGTAAATTTTTTATTGTTTCGTGGTAATGATACCGTGACGAGCAAAGTTCTAGTGAAGGTAAAAAAAAGCAATTGCTTCACAAGGTTTTTTATAGTTAAAAAGCAGTCGGCGCGATGTAAGAATTAATGAGATTAAAGCCAAATACCTTTTTAGCGACAATCTGATGAAAGTCGGCTTTTAATGCGGTTTTAAGGTCACTGAAGGACTTCATCACAATGTTCCAGCCTACATGCTTTGCTACCTACAGTAAAGGCAATCTCTGGAACAAGAGGGTCAAATTTAAAAAAAAATTATTCTATTCACTATATTTGTGTAAGTCGTCGGCAAGTAACCGGCAAATTGCAATCTATTCGTGTTGATTCAACAAAATAAAAAAAAATTTAAAGTGAAAAAACGATATAGGAAGTAGTAATTATTATACTTTGAATTCAAATATACGTTATCCCCATCTTCTTGAATGTATGGTACCAGCTGGCACACTCGCAAGTTTGTGAAATGTAATCAAGAAGCTGCGTTGGGTTTGGTTTGGTTAAGCAATTAAACTAACTCTTTGGCAAAGCGGAGAGTATCGCTGGATTTGAAGGCGTTCCAAGCTGAGGTCGTGCCTTGA